AGGGAGAGCTGTATGGGTAGAAAAGTAACATGAAGAGAGGAAAGGGGAGTGGTCCTGGAAAAAACATGTGATCATGCCCACTTTGGTCCTGCTCACCAGCTATCATCGTTGAGAGAATAACTGTTCTACACCCCAGTTTAAACTTTGGCGGGTGTAGAAGAATTCAGAATAAGAATTAAGGTGAGAAAAGGATGTCATGTGTATTTGTCTTGTGTCAAGGCAGGAAATGCAGGCATGCAGTGAGCATAATCCAGCAGAAGTTACTTGAAATTTAAATTCCCCTGAAAGCCAGAGAATAGAGCTTAGTCATAATGACTAACTCAAGGCCCATTAATTTTAGTGGAAGTTAGTCATGGCTAATGTTGACTGGATTGTGTCCAAAGTCATCATAACTAGAAGGTACGAGGCTATAAATGCAAGCAAAAAACCCTCTTTGAAGCTGTGGATTGTAAACATCCATTCATTACATTATGCAGACTCTGTTTGTTCTGATGAGCTCTCTAGGTTTATTTAAATTAGGGAGGGAGAGGTAGGGATGGGGGCACCATGAAAGCCACTAATCCTACTTTTGCTTCCTTCAATTATAGTCAGCTGTGCTCTTCCCCACCCACAATAGCCCCCTAAAATCTGTACCTAAGAAAAAGAAATATCCCCCCCTTTTGTAGTTTAAGAACTTGAAATACCAAACCCTTTCACTGAATATTGTATTGAACAGAAAGTGCAAGCTGTGCCTATAACATTTCCTTGATATTTACCCGCTTCTCCTTTTATTAAGTACCTTTCATTTCTACTTTTAATTTTTCTTCCATGAAAAATACCTACCTTGCTACTTACTAGTCTCTGGGCTGCCTGCCTTTAAACAAATCCAGATTCTTTTAGTATTTAAACAAAATATGAAATGGAAGCTGGCATGCTGACTAAAGAAAGTGCTAGATGTCAGCATTATCAATTTCCAAGGATGCCTCTGGTCTCTATAGGTATTCTTAGGTAATGAATGTAGAAGGTGTTTAGAAGTCTGTCCAACTTCCCAGAAAAACAGACAATTATCTAGAACTGGTATGAAGTGTCCTGGTAGGCTAGTGAGGTTGGTGGGAAGCACTTTCACCAGTTTGCCTTCTGGTAAATCAGTGTTTCTCAACCTTGATGACTTGAAGATGTGTGGACTTCAACTCCCAGAATTCCCCAGCCAGCTGTGGTAAATGGGTATTTTGCAGTTGGGCTAACTCTGTATTGAAAAGGTCATGCTTTCATGGTAGTCATTTTGTGCATGTGCTCCCAATATGTTCTTAAAATTTGAAAGATCTCCACAGGCTAAAAGAAGATGAAGAACTCTAACATAGTCATCAGCCAGCAAAGTTCTGTATATTTTCCTTGCTTCTATATTTTCAAACATCTCCTACCATATAGATAACTACATCAGATACAGTTATGTTTATGTTACAAAGATAATTGGACTTGTAATGATAGGGCAGATGCCAAATTACAGCTGAA